CGGCTGTGGCGCCTGCCGTTGCCCAGCGCCTCCAGGGGCAGCGCGGTGCAGAAGGCGCAGAGCACGCACTTGCCGTCCAGCAGCGTCACCGAGACCCAGACCGCCGGGGCCACCAGCGCCCGCTGCGCCATGGAGCAGAACATGTAGCGCAGCATGGCCGGGTCCTTGCCCCTGCGGCCCCGCGGGCGCGACCACTCCTCCGCCAGCACGGACACGTTGTTGTTCATGACGAAGCCCAGCAGGAAGAGGATGAGGGGCGGCACCAGCAGGACGCCCAGCCCGTAGGCCAGGTTGTAGCGCGGCAGGCAGGGGCAGTTGAAGTCGAAGGCCGAGTACATCTGCGCGCTGGCCAGGGCCATGATCCCGCAGACGCCGTTCATGAACGACTCCTGGTTGGACTGGAGGAACTGGAAGATCATCCGGAATTTGTCCATCTTCACCTCGGCCCCCTATGTCCACCCGGGGCTCTTGCTGGGAGCGGTACCAGGACCTCGGTCTACTTCCCTTGTTCTGCCAAGACGGGCAAGTCCCTCTGCAGCGGACGGCGTCGCTCGCGCGCTCTCACACCCCAGTGGTTAAGGAAGGGCACTTGGCCATTTCTTTCTCTGCTCATTTCACTGCTTGCCTAAGGTTTGGGATTTGCTTCTCCCCCCACTCTCCAGCACCCATAGGGGCCCATTCGTTCCCACTCCACCAAACCCACCATTGCTCTTAGCTGCGTCCCCACCTCTGCAGGTTCCCGGCCATCTGCCCCGCTGGAGGTGCCGCCGTGCCGGTGCTCCCGGTGGAGTGCCAGGTACCGCCGCAGCAAGTGCGAAAAAGGGGCGGGAGGCTCCTCCCCGGGGGGCAGGACCACCTCCAGCACTGCTGCCGGGGACAGCGGGGCCAGAGCCTCCCCTGTCCCCAGAACTGGCTGCTCCGAGCGCCACGAGGGCCTCCCAGCCCCTTCTTCTGCTGCTGATTTTTTTTTTCCCCTGGCATTTTGTTTTCAGCACAGGAAAGGGAAGGAGGAAGGAGAAAAACTGTTCCCAGTGCCCCAGGATATTTGTATTTATGCAGCCAAGGTCTCTTATGGTCTCCCTGCCATCTGGCCAAGATGCACATCTCAGCCAGGCTTGCATCACAGCACTCTCATAGTGCCTTTTCACAGGACTTGCTAAAGTACCTTTTCACCCCCACCTTGCACAGCCTTGCAGCAGCCCCAGGCACACACGGTGCTTTTGCTGGTTCTGGGCTGGAGAAAAGTGGGTGGAGAAAGGAAAGAGGAACGGAGGATGTCCAGTGTTCTGGGCTCCAACCCCAGCGTGCCTCTGCCCGCAGGTGGATCCTCCCAAAAGCATTTGCTCCCTGGGCAGCTCTGCTGGCTCAGAGGATGCTCCCTGACCTGCAGAGCTGTGAAATTTGTTTTAAATTTTATTTTTCTTCCAAAAACCTCTGAGTTCCAGTGGGGAAGGGCAGAGCAAGGACCAGTGAGCCAGCAATGTATATCCATCAAACAGGATTGTCTTGAGCTGGGATTTGGCCATATTCCTTGGCCTGCAGTTTGGGTGCCCGAGGGCACATTTCCAATGCAGAGTGTGGCGCGGGGACCCTGAGCTAGCTGGGCTCCAGGTTGGCAGGTCCCTATTGGCACAGATTCACTGGCAGTCCAGCTGTGCCCCGTTAGCAGGGCTTGTTATTCAGTATGCCAGGCAACACAGGTCCAGCAGACCTGAACACCTGCCCTGCTCTCCCTGCCCTTGGTGGAGCAGGAGCCACGCGGTCAGAGCCAGCTCCAGTCGCCAGGGAACACGTCCCGTGTGCCCTTGGTGTCGGTGCTGGGGTGTAAAGCTTCCCGCCACTTCCATCCTTCTCCCCTTTCGCTCAGGCATGGCTCAATTTGCCTCGTCACTGCCAGCTTTTCAGACCCGGGGGCTTTCGGGTGCAGAGCAAATGCAGAGATCTCGTGTGCACTTGCTAGCACAGAGCCAACTAGGCAGATCCCTCCCAAGCTGCCCAGAAATGAGATGAAAACATTAATGATAGTTGTGCTTGGGCCAAAATTAGCTCCCATAGCACAAAGCCAAGAGACATAGATTTGTTGCTGTGGTGGTTGTCCTGCATCTATTCCCAGGTCATGAAGCCGCTTCGAAGCACTAGGTTGCTCCCTCTAAATGGGGGAACATTTGGGCTACAAGTGGTGGTAAAAAGGCACTGTGTCAGCACAGACTTTTGGTGTGAATCCCAGCAAGACGCTCAGTCGCTCTGGCCCAGGCACCCCGTGTTGCTGACGTGGCATCGAGATCCCCCTGGGTGCCAGGGGAAGCAGGAGGCACCTTGCTCGTGCAAACCCTGAGCGTGTGGCAGCAGGAAGAAGATACCGGTTTTCCCCGAGGTTTTGTGGCAGGCCCGTAGCAGAGGCAGGAAGGAAGCCAGGCCTTTTGCCCACCAGTCAAACCCCTGCTGACCCTGGGGCTCTGCGGATACTGCAATGTCCTTGCCGAGGTGCCCATTCTGTGGGGCTTCTCAGTGACCACTGGTTCTAAAGCACATTGGTATTACCTGAGTAGACTTAGTGCTGCCTGCTGTGGAGAAGTTAATTGCACGGTCTCATCAAACAGGAGGAGATTTGGCTGCATAAATATAAATGAGGCTTACTGTGTTGCCGGCTAAGACCTCAAACTGGCTTCCCTGTTCACCTCACGAATGACTTTTTGAAGGGCAGTTCACATCAAAGCTTGAATGAATCAAACCCTGAAAAACAGCAAGCTTTTTTTTTGATCTCCGGGAAAACTCTGCCTTTCATTAAATACAAGTTTGGAGCCTGTGCAGTGTGCAGCACTGGCAGCTCTCATTGAAGTCAGCAATAAGTCAGTGGGATTCCTCAGTGCACATCAAAGCCCTGGTCTTTCTTCCCCAGCCGCTTTGTTGGCGAGGGCCTTGTCATGGTGATCCTGTCCACAGAAAGCCACGTGCAAGTGGTTTGCAAGGGAAGGCAGAGGCAGCGCTCCCTCAAAGCAGGGTCAGCTGGAGCAAGTTGCCCAGGATCCTTCTTGCTGTGAGAGACCTGGCACAGCCTTCCCAGCACCACATGGAGGAGGAAAACAACTTCCCTGGAGCTGCTGGCCACAGTGTCATTCTGCGGGCGTGTGGACGGAAAGGCTGGTGTCCAAGGGGATCAGGACATGGACTCTAGGAGGCTGGGCCAGGCAACCTCCCAAGGTCCCTTCAGAGTTCCCTGATAATCCTAAAGCTCTCTGATGTCACTGTCCCATCAACAAGTCTTTGTGAAGCTGTAGAAAGGTCTATGGCAGCACCCTTAAAGCCTCTGCTTCTCTCCCTGCAGAGACAAAGCACCAAGCTCCTCTTTTCCTTTTGCATATTGTATTTTGTGGCCACCCTGGAATGACTTAAAACCTGAAAGCATGAAAAGCAGTATGCAAAGAGAGCTGTGGACTTCTGCTCTGAGCCGAGTTAGGAAAATAACTGATTTGACTAGTGCGGAGTGGTGAGACTGAGCAGAGTGTCAGCCTTGGATTTGCAGTGTGGCATCTGCTAAAAGCGAACCAGGACAGCCCCCTGCTCCCTGCGGCACGTTCATCCCTGCACGCTGCGAGGAGGCTCGAGGAGCGCGAGCGCTCGCGAGGCAGCACACACTGCTCCTGGCGTAGCACAGATTTCTGCTCCTTTTCCTAAGGAGCACATGGAATGTGTTGGAACGTAATTACCAGGGAGATCTTTTATCTTTGCTTAAATTTGATTGAAACCAGCCAATGAGTTGAACATGATTAGGAGCAAGGACAGACAGTCCACGCAAAGTCATCTTCCTATTTTTTTTTTCAGAAAAAGCAGGCCAGGAAATCTTGGATCCTGTTTCGAGGTGAAATTCAAAGTACAATGCCTATTTCAAAAGAAAGCAAAGAAATTGTCCCCCTGGGCTAAAGCAAGTGTGAACACTGCTATATTTTCCCCAACCAGCTTGGCTAGAACTGGTACCAGGAGCATGAGCCATCAAGCATAGTCCTCTGAACATGGTGCAACTCTAAAGTGGTCCAGGAAAAAAGAAGCCTGCAACAAACTGATGGGAGAGAGTAAACGCAGAAAAGTGTGTTTTGGGGGCCTGGAAGAGGCAGTGAGAAAACGGAATGAGGCTGATTTTGTGATATGATTGTGTGCTCTCTCTGAGCACATCCCGGGGAGCTCCGGGGTTCAGCCAGGGTGCTGAAGTCAGGTGGTTTTGCTATAGAAACAAGAAAAGCTCCTGACGGGGTGAAGCAAGGAGGAATGGAGCAGGGCCAGGCAGGAGCAACCGTGTTGTGCCATGTTTGGCTTCTCCGTGGGGACCTTGGCCTCGGCCCCCATGAAGCCCCTGTTTGGGTACTCGGTGAGTGCTGCAAAGCGGGATGGCTGCGGAAGGGAGAGCGCTGCCCCGAGCGTGCCGTGCTTAAAGCCCTGGGTGTGGGCCGGAGAAGCAGCCAGCATTTTCATTCATTTACTTCTTTTCGACATTGATTCTTATCCTTCCTCTGCAGAGCAAAAACTTGGACATGTGCAACAAGTGTCCTCCCCACCAAGCCCTGCTCCTGCAGGGATTTCCTCCTGGCGGCCTGGCTGCCCTCATCCAGCTCTGCATAGCTAGGGAACTTTCTTCTTTCCTATCCATACACCCTTCTCAAGCCCCTCGCTCCTAGGGTCCAGACAAGTGTCCATGGGAGCCTCAGCCTGGAAAGGTACAGTAGTCGGCACTGGATTACTTGGGGTAATAAAGTTTAGTAGTTTAATATAGCTAAGAAGCAAAGCTCAGCAGAAAAATCAGTCAAACTGCCAGGGGACCAAACACTAAATATCTGCAACAGGGGCTGGAAAAAGGTAAGAAAGAAAATAATTAATGTTACAAGCTCAGAGATAGAGTTTTATTTAAACAATGTTGGAACTAAGGATGGAAGCGCACAACTAAGTGATGCTAGTACTATCCTCCAGATAGAGGGTTTGGAGCTAAAATCTTGCAAGGTGTTGTTTAAAATCTGCCTTCAGACTTCTCTTGCAGAATCCATATCTGCTGTCCTTTCCATGGCCAAATGCCTGCACTTACAGCAGCCAGCTGGGCCAGAGCACAGCCCCGTGGCTGTGGGCGTGCTAAGAAAAGCCTCTGTCACCCACTGCAAACCCAACCCAGCCCGGGGACACCTGTTGCTGATCTGAGATTACCTGCAATTAATTTATGTGCCTCCATAAATTCCAGTAGGTTGCCATATTTTGTTTTGTAAATGCATAGACACATTGATGGGTTCTTAGAGGGGGGCTGAATAGTTTGGCAGCTGGGCTGGGGGCAGCCAGAGCTCTCAGCAGATGGGAAGATGTAGGAGGCGGGTTTGCCTTCTTGAGTAACCACGTTGGCGTGGTACTAAAAGAGTTGCCAATTAAATGCTGTCAGTGTCTGCAACGCTAACTGCCCTAATCAGATTGCACTGAAGCGGGGCTGGAGCTGCTCACGCCTCCCCTGAGCTGCCGTTTCAGTGTGTTTGCACATAGCCAGGTGTTGCTGCCTTGGTTAAATTCCTCCTGGAGCCAGGAGGGTTTTTATGAGAGCTGTCAACTCTTTATTACAACAGGGGAGCTAGGAGGAACCTGCAGATGAGAAATGTCCTTAATGCAGTGGAGTCCCTTGGACTGTAAGGGCTCACTAGTTCAGCTTGCAGATCTTGCTGGCAAGGCTGGAGCAGCTCACGCCCTCAGGCAGCCCTTGCCAGCGGAAGGTTTGAAGGAAGATGTGAGGACCACTGTCACCTACCCACTGGTCATCGCTTTCTACAGAGACACAACAGTGCCCCTTGGGCATGGGGCTCCCCTACACCTCACTGTGTTGGGGGTTTAGGGGCTGCTTGCTGGGGCTGTGTGTCCAGCGTGCCGGTGATCTCTCCCTCCCCAGAGGATGTCGCTGGGTCACCTGGCTCACGTCCAAGGGTGGTTTCTCATAGCACCACGTCTGCAGAAGCCTGTTCACCTGGTCCTGGTCTGTGATGCCCTGGAGAAGGTTTTCCTCTCCTTCAGCCTCCTTCTCCTCCCTGTGCAAGTTGAAGCTGTGCAGCTGGATCTCTTTCCGCATGCTCTCAAAGAAGTGGAAGATGCACTGGTGAGCAAAGTGCCGGCTGTGCTCGCAGCAGGTCTCCTCAAAAATCTTCTGCTCGATGTCGATGTAGTTACTCCAGTAACGGGTCTGCAGGAGGGCGGCGGGGCTCAAGCAAGGTCTCAGCCAACGGGCAAGGAAAGCTGCTATGATCAGGATCAACAAAATGCTCCAGCCGAGTGCCTGGGTGAGAAGAAATAAGCAGTTACACCAGGAATGTTCCTTGCCCATATACGTGGGCTTCAGCAGTAAGGTCGGGGTGGGTTAGACTATGTGCAACTCTCTCTCATAGGAAGTAGTGCCTATTTCCAGTGTCCTCCTACCAGCCCTATCCTTGACCTGGCATGGTACCGGGCTGGGATCGGGGGATGCAAAGCCAACATTTTGCTGCCAGCCATGTCCCATTCCCATGTCATTCCTGAGCAAGCTGCTTCTGGTCTCTGGTCACTCAGCTTTCACTGTCCTTAAAGAAGGAGAGCTGTGAGGGTTGCAGGTAGAAAAGTCTTCTTGTCCTGAATATAAACAGCCTTAGGACACCCAGATATTCCTTGCAAGATGGTGTTTTTTTGTTTGTTTGCTTTTCTCTAGAAACAAAATTCTGTTAATAAAACTACGTTTTTTCTTCCTTCTCTTTTCTTCCCCAAGTAACTCCCCTGGAGATTACGCTGAGAGGGTCACCCTTGGTGACACAAAGAAGCAAAGAGCAGTCTTGCTCCCCACCTGGCCATGGCAATGCTCTTGTAAATCATGGATTGGAAGGAGCAGCTGAGGCTCCACCGAGTGTCTCTGGTGGCACTGGGAGCCACGGCAGAGACTCACCTGGGACCAGCACCGCAGGTACCTGGACACTGCCTTTCGGGACGTGTTGTTCCTCACGAGCTCGTCGTCTTTGCAGGGCACCTTGGCGAGCAGCTGCTGCACTTGTGCTGGGGTGACGTTGGCAAAGCCCGCAAACTTCTCGGGATCCACCGAGCCGCTGAAAGCACAGATAAAGCATTTCCCATCCAGGAGGGTGATTATGATCCAGACGATGGGCGCAATCATGGCTCTCTGCAGGACGGAGGAACACATGTACCTGGGGTGGGAGAGAGACCCGTGAGCAGGGACGTGCTGCAAGCTTTCTCCTTGCCCGTGGGGACCTCCCTGGTGATGAACAGCCCCTTCCTGAGCTGACTGGTTCACAGGACTTTCCCCAGCCTTGCTCCAGCTAATGTCTTTTTCTGCTCTGGGTCCCTTTGCTGGTGCTGCCTCCCACTGCAAACCTGCTCCAGTGCCTGGTAGCACTTTACATCCTGTCTAAACCTGGTTCAGCGCCTGGTCCTGTTGCTTCAGCTGGAAAAGAAAACATGCTTAATCCTGCTTGTATTTGGGGAGAAAATGCTGTCGTGAGTGTGCTGGTTGGTGAGAGATTCCTCTCTCAGGCTCTCAAAATGGAAAGCTCTCCCGTGCACCATCCTTGTCCCAGGTGGGACATGAAAGTGCCACGTATCATTACAGCACTGCGAGGACGCCGCGCTGCGCCAGCACCTCCCCTCCCGGGCAGCACGGTGTGTCGTGAGCATCTCCCTGGGATGCAGGGAAGGCAAGATGCATCTCCAGGAACTGATTTCCCGGAGACAGCCTCCAGCTGCTGGAAACCCCCAGAGACTTGCAGAGTCTGCCAAGGCTGAACATGGGCCGGTGGGCGAGCGCTGCACCGTGCGGTCGAGCTGACTTTCAACAGCTTCTTGTCCTGTGCATGGGGTGGGAGCTTTTAGGCAGCACGGGGGACGTGAGTCTCCTCTCCTTGGCCGAAGGCAGGGAGTCACTCGCGCAAGGAGCGACGGGGAGGGAAAACCACCCACCTGACAACAGCCGGGTCCTTGCCCCGGCGCCCGCGCGGCCGCCTCCACTCCTCGAGCGCGGCGGCGGGCTGCCGGGCGGGCAGCCGGCCGCCGGGCCGCGACGAAAACCCGTTCGTCACGGACTCCGAGTTGGACTGCAGGTACTGCAAGATCATCCGGAAACGCTCCATCGGGCACGCTCAGCCACAGATGCTCTTCCTGGGAAGCCACCAGCTCCACTCCTCGCGCAGAAGCAGAGTAGCGCCCCCGCCTCCTCGAGCTTCCTGCTGTCCCCTTCCCAGAGCACAGGTGGCTCTCCAGCTGGATGCTTCTCCCGGTGGCTTTCCGAGGCGAGCAGGGGGATACAGCCCCCGGCTGCCCCCTTTCCCTGGGAGGCTGCTGCAGAGCTGCCTCCCTGCCTCCGCGCATGGGCAGCTGAGCAGGAGAAGCTGGGCCAGGCAAATGAGCTCATTTGTGTCCCTGCTGCCTGTCCCGGCTGCTCCTGTTTTCCATACACGATGCCTTTCAGGAGGCTGGTGAATATTAAAAGCTGCCATCTGGTACAGCAGAGGATGTTGCAGTGGGAGAAGCCACGTGTGCTTGCTGCTGGCACCCCTGCCTCCGCGCATGGGCAGCTGAGCAGGAGAAGCTGGGCCAGGCAAATGAGCTCATTTGTGTCCCTGCTGCCTGTCCCGGCTGCTCCTGTTTTCCATACACGATGCCTTTCAGGAGGCTGGTGAATATTAAAAGCTGCCATCTGGTACAGCAGAGGATGTTGCAGTGGGAGAAGCCACGTGTGCTTGCTGCTGGCACTGGGCACTTGTTCTGGCTCGCGACCCATCACGCAGCAGGTTGTACACGGACAGGCTCCTTCCTGCTCCCCGTCAGGGACCACATCAGGCACAGCTGCTTGCATGGAAAAAACACCCCAAAACCTCTAAGCGAGGGAGGCTGTGTCCTGCGGGACAGTTTATAATTTCTGGTCATTGTCATCATTTTAGATATTCAAAATGCAATCTTGCCTTTACTCTACAAAGTTTATTTTATGGATCAATATATCTCCTTGGCACATGAGAGACCTCTCTCTCGCTCTCTTTTCTTTTTTTTCCTGGTCTATTCAATAACCAAGTATCCCTGAATCATTCATTCATTCTTAACATTCCTATCAGTCATCTCCATCATTTCCATCATCCATCCCCGTTCCCTGCTTTCATTTGAAAGCATTTGCACACTTCTTCACAACTCAGCTTTCCATGTGTGTTTGGGGAGAGAAAAAAAAAAAAAAGTGCTTTGGTGCTTCGTTTACCTCTCTTCCTTAAAAGAAGAGAGGAATCATCTCCATGACCACGCACTCACCTTCAATAGTGAGGTTGCTCAGCCGCTGCAGCAGACGCGCGCTGCCTGCTACAGGCACCTGCTCCTTTTACTGGCCTGACTGGTCTGCCAGGATCACAGCAACATGCAGGGAAAGGGTCCGTATCGCTGCTCGCAGGCACTCGTACACATACACACACACGCTGGGTATGTGACACGTGCTGACAATGTCATCTCTGCTCTATACCGCGCACAATTGCTTTAATGACATGCAATTGCACCAGCCATGAGATTTGTATTGTCTCTTGCTGGTGCATGGAAACGATGGCTAAAAGCAGCAGTAAAACCTGCAGCTCATCAGCCACCCTTTCCATCTGGCTGCCACGTGGCAGCATTGGGATGTCTTGCTGAACCCAGCAGCCCTACCAGTTCCCCAACTCCTATGACACTATTGGGTTTTGCATTTAATGCCTTGAATTTCTATGCTGACTTGGGCTCAGAAAGTTTTGTGAGCTCTCAGTGGAGCAGTTATTCCAGACAAATCATTTGCCTTCCAGCTCTCCTGGGAAAAAAAACAGTAAAGGCTAAATAGTTCCTCACAGCTCAGCAAAATAAGGTGTAAAAAAAGTGGGAAGCACCATCTGTGCAAGACAAGCTGCTAGGGAATTTTAGCTCTCCAGAAAACAGTTGCCAAGCCTGGACATTTGGGGTCTCTAACGGTTGCTTTATGGTCGCTGTCAACAGCTGTTGTGAGCCGAGGTTTTATCGTGACTCGGAGCCGAGCGGTGGAGCTGGTGAGTTCCAGAAAGAAGGAAACATTCCTCAATTTGTGGCGAAGGCCACAGGGAGCTCAGTGGGGCACGAGAGGTGTGCAAATTGCTAGATGCCAGCAGATTTTCAAAACGAGTTGCAAGGATAAACTCTTTTTAAAAAAATCCAGCTTGTTCTTCATTAGAGTGAAAGAAAGGGGAAAAATTAATTATTTAATTATCCAGGCTGAAATTTTCTGCCCTCAGCATCTGCCTCAGGCTAAATGTTTTCAGGAAACCACTATACAGATGGGTCAACTGCTTTTGAAAATGATGTAAAGGGAAACAAACAAACAAAAAAAGCACTTCTGTTAAAAATGGGGAGGTTTGTGTCAGCTAGTGCTTTCCTGTTAAAATTGGGGAGGTTTGTGTCAGCTAGTGCTTTTCCTGTCCTGGAGAAATGTACTGCAATGACGAATTTGCTTGCATGACCTTTGTAGAGTCTTGGTAAGACAGATTTCTCCCATTAGAGCTCCAATATTTCCCTGTGTCTTGTGTGTGATTTTTCTCCCAGACTATTGCCTTCCTTTCAGATGAAGCTAAATATCTGAATGTCCAGAAGGTGGATGGCAGCACTGGGAGCCTCTGTGCAGGCCTTGGAGAAACCTGTGCATCTCCTGCTACACTGTGTGTCCAGCATGAGCAGCTGAAGGAGTTTAAATCAGCTCTGGCAATTTAATTTAGGAGACAGTCACCTTTTCAAGTGGCTACAAATGGAATAGGGGAACTGTGTTGGTCTTGGGAGCCGACAAATGAAAACTTGTCACTGGTGATATCCTTTTAATAACCGTACAGCACTGGATTACTATGTGTGCTGTATCCAGCACTCCAGGATGTCAGGAGGATTAAGTGATTTCCTTGTAAGTGCTGCATGTCCCTGGCATAGGGACCACCCTGTCTTTCCAGCACCTCTCACCTGTTGAATTGGAAAATCCCTTCAAGCTGCCCACATCCATCAGAGGACAAGGGCGAACATTGCTGCAAGGCTTACAGAAAATCTGCCACCTTGTATTTAGGTAAAGGACATTGAAAGCATAAGTGAGCTTTCCTAGCAGAGCTGCCTGCAGCCCAGCACCTCCTCTTTTCCTGTGTGAAGTGGGTGGACCTGCTGCTCACCCCGAGGCACGCAGTAAACACCCGGGGCACCTGCCTGTATTTGATTAGCAGGTTGCAAACAGACATTAGTTTTATTACCTTTATTCCAGGCTGCTTGGGGAGTGATGTCCCAGCCATGTCTGAGGGAAAGGGAACTGGAACAAAAGAGCTGCAAAGCTGCCAGAGGATTTTACCCCTTAGCAGTTGGAAAGCATCAGCATCTTAGACTTATTGCAGGGGAAATGACCTTCCATTCCCACTGCCCACAAAGGAGGGCACAGGCAGCAGTTCCTCCTTCCAGATACCAAATCACCACTGGCAGCATAGACAAATCAGACACTCTTAGCTCCTTGGGGCAGGGACCACCTGCATCTGTGGATTTTTGTGGAGCTGCCCAGCCTAAGCAAATACCTGAGTAACAACTGCCAAATGATAAATGAGATGCTAGAAGAATAACGGCAGCATTGTGAAATGTTGTTTGTCTTCACTAATAGGGCTCCCAGGAGATGAGATACTCCCGTGTGCTGCCTCCTAACTTCATTAAATCACCAACTGCAGCTGACTGCCAGTGAGGAAATACATGACTTAGGTGTATGCTGGGCTTCTTAAGAACTCATTACATTCTGTTATCCTGGTCATTAGAGCTTAGTTTTCTGACACACATGAAAGCTCAATTTCCTAATCTCTGCGTTATCCCAACCTCAACCTAATTCACACACTGGGAGCACTTTCTGCAAGGCCATTTATCTGCATGGCTTCGAGCTGATGATGCAGCAGGATAGGCCTAGGTGGAGTCTCTTCTCACCTTGAGAGTGAATTAGGGAATAAGGCCGAGAATTAGGAAATCAGGCTGATCTCTTAGTATCCCAGCTCAGTGATTTTCAGTCTTTTCCAATTTGCTGACACTCGTGCATCTTCCAGCAGCTGTGCAGGCCCTGCATAGCAGACTTAAGGCTGCTGACATTTAGTTAGCTTTTCTCATTTTTTCCCACTCTCATAAAATCAGTCTTCATCCCTGGGGAGTCCAGAGGTTACAGGCTGAAAACCACTGATAACAAACTTATCTCAGAAGATCAGGGGTCTTCAGTTCGCAGAGATGTCACAGAAGGTATCTGGGTAGGAAGAAATAGGCCTCGGTTGATGGAGATTCTCTCCAAGCAGTGACCCCAGGCCTGAGCATCCACATCGGATTTGGGGCTGGCATAAAAGGTCCCAGCCCTGCATCACTGCTTCATGAGGCAGGAGAAAAGAGCAGTTAAAGCCAGAATTTATGCCTGTGCTGGGTAATTATTTCACCCAAGATGCTCGCTCAGGTAAGTCACTGCTAAAAGCTGATTCTGCCACTATGCTCTCTTGTACCAGCCAGAGCAGCTCTTGGTTAGCAGGTGCAAGACACAAGGTCTCTCTAGGGGCAGATTTCGACTGCCAGTCCTCCAATACAATGAACGTGTTGGATTACTGACATTCCTGTCTGTTATGTTAAGACTGCAGGTTTAAATGAGCATCAGATAATACAAGCTTGCTTTGTTTAACCATAGAGAATATTGCTTTGCAAAATAAACTCTTGATCGTGTTCCATATCTCATTACAAGGAGTTTCATATTGGCAATCAAGATAACATGTCATATAAGAATTATGCTTTTTATCATCTACTACCAGCAATTCGGGTAGACATTTGAGTCTCTAGATAAGCACACTTGAATTTTCCACACAAAATTCCTAGCAAACATTTCTTAAAATTCTCTCTTGGCTATGGACAGGTTACTATAACATGGATCTACCTATACTGAGATAAGGATTGAAAATATCACTTCTGGGACCCACAAGCAATAATTTTTGAGTTCCCTAGAGACAAACCAAATAATCCTGTAGATCTTTTGCAAGGAGTAGTCTTAGATTTCCATAATTTATCTGTAAGGAATGGAAGGAGGTTGTAAAGATAGAAAGAAAAAGGAAATTTGTCAGGAAATTTC